AGCGCCAGCTCCAATTTACCGCGCCCGACCAGCATCGAGCGTAATATGCACTGCAGTGTGCATTAACGGTGCACCTAATTTATTATTTAATTAAAACAAAATCCTCCTGCCTTTCACGGCTTGGATGACTTCCAGGATACCAAGCGAGGTTCTAAGAGGTCTACGGACGAATATGTGGTGAGGAGAAATTATTTGGACGTCACACTCTAATACGAGGGGCGCAGAAAATTTTCCTGTCAAGGTAAGTGGAAGATACACCCTTACCTTTGTATTTGATAAGCGTTCTGTGTACATACTTTGGTTGGGACAGTTTTGCGATTCAGAACTGTAGCAAAAAACACAAAATATTATCGAATTTTGGAGTCATGCCCACTTAGGTACATATTTCTGACAAAGTCATCGAAATTATTTGTATGTTTCCCAAAATACCATTTTAAATTCCTTGTATAATATTTCTATCGTTTTTTGAACTTCTAAATTACGAAATTGTTCCTCAGTACAAAATATTAAGTTCGTTTTTCAACCTGTCTATTTCAAAAACGTTTGGATGCATTTGTAATAAACATTCAAACGATCTTTCGGGAAATTTGTTTGCATATTCGGGAAATTTTGAGGATTCTATTAAAGCAAAAAATTTTAAATCATGTAAATTCAAAAAACGAGTAGGTACTTAATTAAGGGGAAATATATATCGAAAATATTTCTAATTCGTCCCAACTTTTGCCCCGTTTACTTAATCCAGCAATATTTTTAAATTTTTCTTCGTTTCTTAATTCAGAAATTCTTCGACTAGTGATTTTAATTTGTTTAGAGCAGTAGTTTACTTCATCACGTTTTGAAATAGATGTTTCAAGAGATAAAACAATGTGAGATATATTCATTATTAGCTACCTATGTAGGTATTTGATAATATAATAAGTACCTATCTATTAAATTACGTTAAATTTAGTCTTACTTTGTTTTGATGTAAGGAAGTTTTTTTCCATTTACTTTAAATTAATACCTGCCTTGTCCTTATCCTTAAAACCTTTGTACTATCCCTCACACTGACATCAGACACTACCCGCGTACTATGCGACGCGTACATTAACCGCGAACTGAAACTATAAGCAGCTTTGAGCTTATTTTAACCGCCTCGCTGGGAGGGGGAACTGTAGCATATTGTAGGTAAGTGTGACGCGTCTACAAGCAAAGAAATTCTGGCGTAACTGTGGTGGGGACTAGTGGGGAGTAACAGTATCCAATGCCACGCCGATGGAAACGGCGAGCGGCGAAATATTCAATATTCAAACAATTAATTTACACTGTTATTTTGATTTTTGATAAATGTAAGAGGTAACTGGAAATTAGTTTACCTAACTGTTTATTTAGGTAAATTTATTCGGCAGAAAGCATTTCAGATAACTTAAGTTGCAACTGGCGTTATGTAATTATTTGCGGAATTATTCATCAGATATTGTCAGGATCCTGATTAAACTGCAAAATTTAGAACCAAGTTCAACCGCACAAAATCCAAATAGTATGTAGCAAATTAAGGTCGACTTTTTGTCTTCGAGTTTGCCGATAAATTCCTCAAAAAAAAAAAGATCCAAAGAAATGTTTACTTGAAAGGAGTAGATTACCTGAAATATTGAAGACTAAAAATCAGTACCGATTTAACATTCTTTGGTGAAATCGTTTAATTCGAAATGGCAAAACTTAGTGAACGCGAAAGAATTGATATTTTTGACGATGATTGGTTTCGGCGATAAG